GGAAAATGTCATTAATTAAGTGCTTTAAACCAACCTTCATTGATCATAAATTGCATTCATATTCACCATCCCTTAAAATGATTACAAATACATTAAGGACACACACACACACACACACACACACACACACACACACACACACACACACCTACCCCTAAACCTACCCTTACAGAAAACTCTCTCTCTCTCTCTCTCTCTAGTTTTCTGTGATGGGTAGGTTTAGGGTTACAGGACAGAATATACAGTTATTATACAGTTATACTGTATGTAAAAGCAAAGGTTGGTTTAAAGCACTTAATTAATTTTCCCATATTCCGTGACCTAATCTAAAGTGAGAACTATCTATGGTTAATAAGTTGTTAACAAAGCATGATCTAACTCTTTACACATGAGCTAATTAAACAATAAGAATTTGGTTCGTTTCAGTGATGATGAATGAAGAACTCACTGTTTGTATAGCATCTATAAACTATGAATTAACTATAAACTAATAATTTGCAAATTAATTGTAAGTACTTTATTAGTGAATACTTATTATAAAGTGTGGTCTAATTTTCTTTAAAGGAATTCTTTCTTCTAATCTTCTTTACCGAATTCCTAAATAATCAGAATGGTAATTTTTGTTTTCCAACATAACACACACACACACACACACACACTAGATTTAGAGCATTTGAGCATTTTATAGCACAATCTTTAATGATTTTAAAACTCAAATAGAATTGTGATTACTATTAAACACTATCCAATGACTGCAGTATCTTAGTTTCAATCCCTTAGAAGATTTTTAATAAATTCTATTTGAATCCTTGACGATATGCTCCACACTATGCGTGCAATAGAAATTCTGTACAAAATCCTTTAGGTATTAGGCAATATTTTTTCCACCAAAACGATAGATAATCTGTTCCCATCACTTTCAGATTTTCAGATATCTGCTTCATGCAATGCTACATAAGTCCTGAGAAATCTGAACATGATTTATTGTGTTGATGTTGGCCTTTCATACCAATCTGAGACTTAAAATGTCTGGATCACCATAGAGGTTAAATTTCCACGACCTGTCTTTGCAGAATTATTTAGTCTTTTTTAATTAAGAAAGAGCATATTGCTTTGTTGATTAGTTCCTCCAGCGAGCTGTTTGAGTGCTCATTGATGCATGCTATTGATTGGTGTTGTTCCTCTCTTTTAGGGTAAAGGCAAAATGAGAACATATTGGCTTCTGGGAGAGAAGACAGATGTCTATGTTATCTGAGAGCACTGCTGATGACAGGAAGTCACCAGGACCAGAGCCACTGTTTCATATACTTGTTCTGTGTCTGAAAGGGTTTCTCACTCTTGCATGGAACAACACATTATAATACCTTTTGAGGGAGGTTAATTCAGGTATATTTCATACCTGCTTTAAAACTGCAAAAATTGTATAGTTGTGTTTTTTTTTTTACAGTTAAGATTTCTTGTGCTGACAGTTAAGTATGTTTTTCTGGGTGAAAGTCTTATTTTTTGTGCTTTCTGTATTTAGATTTTTGGAAACTGGTGATGTGTATTTGGCATTTTTTTAACACATTCAAGTGCATTGAATGGTGGTTGTCAAGACTGAGGACAGAGTGAAGTTTTATCATAATGTAATATTTGTATATATGTATATCCAAGACATTGTAAGATATTTTGTTCAATAAACTGAATTAAAAGCAGGTTCTTGTGTTGTCATTATTAGCAAAACTCTTGTAAATATAGTCTCAACAGTAAGGAATTGTGAATATTAATGAATCCTTCCAGAAGGGCTCTTTCCCACTCAATACACCTTCCCAAAGGGCTTTGCAGCTTATTGGCACAAGAGACAAAGAGAAAATTGCACACTTGAATAGCTCACTCTTTCTCAGAGCTACATTAACAGCAACACTTAAGCTAAATACTCCACTAAATACTCCTTATTGATCACAACCTAAAAATAAAACCTATTGAAAAGTACTCAAAACCATTTAACCCTTTCAGACCTGATTTTTTTTCACAGTACTATTTATTTTTTTACATTTTTTTATCAACTTTATATTTGCTCTTCTCCAATATAGAAATGAGTCTAAAAAACAAAATTTGTGTCAACTCTTTTTATTATTATATATTTTTTTCATGTCCACTACAATGGACTCCAGGACTGAAGCAACATAAAAATCCCCATATTTTAACCATACTTATGCACTTGAATAGCTCACTCTTTCTCAGAGCTACATTAACGGCAACACTTAAGCTAAATACTCCACTAAATACTCCTTATTGATCACAACCTAAAAATAAAACCTATTGAAAAGTACTCAAAACCATTTAACCCTTTCAGACCAGACTTTTCACAGTACTATTTATTTTTTTACATTTTTTTATCAACTTTATATTTGCTCTTCTCCAATATAGAAATGAGTCTAAAAAAACAAAATTTGTGTCAACTCTTTTTATTATTATATATTCTTTTCATGTCCACTACAATGGACTCCAGGACTGAAGCAACATAAAAATCCCCATATTTTAACCATACTTATGAAGTATAGTTTGTGTATAGAGTTGAACTACAGTATATGTTGAAGATTTTGAAAAGAACAATACTGTAAGAATGGACAATGCAATAAGAATGTAGAAACAATGTAAGATGATATGAAGTCTAAAAAAAACCTTGTTTGATCCTTTTTGTTGGTTGCAGAGGGTGAATCTGAGTATATGTGTAAATGTCTTGTGTGTATGTGAATGTCTTTATGTGTCTGGTTGTTTTGATGAATATATGATTGTGTGCATTACAGCATCAAGGCATCGATGTGTTTGGAGGGTGTGAGAGTGTGTGTTGCTGTGTATTCATTGATCTCACATCCACTATGGCTGTTTCTCTGATATGGCTGATATAGTCACTATCTGCAGGACACTGGCCCTCCAGGAGCAGGATTGGCCCCCCCTGTGTGTGTGTGTGTGTGTGTGTGTGTGTGTGTGTATATATATATAGAGAGAGAGAGGACACTATGAACTCATGATCACAGCTGCTTCTCGTCCCCATGATTCTTAATTACCGCCCACCAGCAGCTCCGTCACAGTCAGTGCTGTTGCCAAGTGGTCATTCTGCAAAGCTTTGCACACCGATATATATTCAGTAACAAACATGCTTTACCAGGGCTTTATGAAATATAGTCACAGCTTTCGGTTTATAATTGTTTCATTACAAAAAAGCAATTATTAATAAATAGAAGTCAAAATCACCTTCTGTTGGTTTCAAATTATGACTTTGTGAAGTCTGTGTAATTAATTAGGAAGACAGTATAAAAACATTGATACTGTTCAGGAGCTGAATTTTGGCTAGACACACACACAAACGCACACGCACACACACACACACAGGTTTGTTTTTATGGTTTATGGGGACTCTCCATAGGCGTAATGGTTTTTATACTGTACAAAGCGCATTTTCTATTGCCCTACACCAACCCTACCCCTAAACCTACCCCTCACAGGAAACTTTCTGCGTGTGTGTGTGTGAACTCATGATCACAGCTGCTTCTCGTCCCCATGATTCTTAATTACCGCCCACCAGCAGCTCCGTCACAGTCAGTGCTGTTGCCAAGTGGTCATTCTGCAAAGCTTTGCACACCGATATATACTCAGTAACAAACATGCTTTACCAGGGCTTTATGAAATATAGTCACAGCTTTCGGTTTATAATTGTTTCATTACAAAAAAGCAATTATTAATAAATAGAAGTCAAAATCACCTTCTGTTGGTTTCAAATTATGACTTTGTGAAGTCTGTGTAATTAATTAGGAAGACAGTATAAAAACATTGATACTGTTCAGGAGCTGAATTTTGGCTAGACACACACACAAACGCACACGCACACACACACACACAGGTTTGTTTTTATGGTTTATGGGGACTCTCCATAGGCGTAATGGTTTTTATACTGTACAAAGCGCATTTTCTATTGCCCTACACCAACCCTACCCCTAAACCTACCCCTCACAGGAAACTTTCTGCATTTTTAGATTTTCAAAAAAACTTATTCTGAATTATTTATAAGCCTTTTGAATTACGGGGACACTGAAGCTGTCCTCATAAATCCCCTTCTCGTTGTAATACCTATGTCATACCCATGTTATTATACAAATTTGTGTCCTCATAAACCACATAAATATGCACACACACACACACACACACACACACAGAGAGAGAAAATAATTTAAATGTATTTTTCCTTGAAGCAACAAGATTAAATTGTTTAGGAATCAAGCCAGTTCACAGGCTTTCTGTGGAGTTCCTCAGATAATTTTTTTTTTGTAAAAACAAAGGGAAACACTGAATTAATGAAGTCTAAAATTACTTGTTGCCATAGTTACCCAATGTTAATCCCTGCTGAAAGCATGAAAGAGGAATCCAGCAACAGAACAGCTCTGACTGACAGCACAGCTGTGTGAAAGTAAGCCATCCTGATCCAAAGAAACAGTGCATCAGTTGATTTTCAACAAATAGTTAGAGCTCTCCTCTCTCAGGGTGAAAAAGGCAGTCACCTGCACCCAAATAACCATTTTCTCATTTGGCCACAAAAACAAGTAAATTATTTTATTATAGTAGTATTAACTAGTCACTTGCTTTTCGTTAAAACATTTGCTAAGTCAGGAAGTCATACTTGGCATGGAAAACATTACACAAGTTTACCATGAAAAATATATACACACACTTAGCAGGGCATGTTGTCACACTATAAAGTATGTTGTAACACTTGGAAATTACATGTGTTGCGAATATACATACATTTTAAATTAGGTTTATTAATCATTAATCAAGTCAGAAATTATAAATTTCAGGGATTTTTTTCAGAATGGTCATGCAGGGATCATGAAATGCAGTGAGTGACTAAAATAAACTCAACTAAAATGAAGACATGAATGAAGACAGGGAATAATGAAATGATCAAATGTTGATATTTTTTAATTCCTCACAAAGCATTTTCTGATGGGCACAGCACTGTGTCATTGAGCTGATCTAGTTGAAATTGGTGTACTAAAAGTGGCATTTCTTTTAAATGGATGATCCTTAGTTTTAACTGTTGTCACACCCTGTGAAAAGAAAACACTATTCATAAAACCACTCCAGTACTGCAATAAATAAACATATTGAATGAAACCTCACAGTAGATTCTGACCTGAATTTTCTGATAGTTATCACTCCAAACTGTGATGGCCTGCTCAGTTGTGTAATCATGATCCTGGAAGAGACGAGCGGATTAATGCCAAAAAATACACGCAAATACATGCACATGTACAGTCAAAGCAAAAATGTTATATTTAATAGTTATGGTGAACAGAAACAGACCATGGCCATTGGTGCACGGACAGACTTAAAGCCCTCCACCTTGTAGTCTGCTTTGGTCACAGAGCACAACTCTGGGGCTGGAGGCTCTGTGTTCCTCTCTGCATGTATCTGATCACTGTGAAATAGATTGCATTTAGTGCTGGGCGATATACTGGTTTGAATTAATTACGCAAACAGTATGAATATTTAAAAATCGGCATACAAGTGGCTAAGCGGTGTAGACAGCGTTGTGAATTGAGAGAGGATCCCTGTTAACTGCATACACTTCTGACTAATGGTTAGAGAGCCTTTAGAACTATTAATAACACACAACTAATTTTTTAACTGGGCAAATAAACCAACTGTAAAGCTGTTAAAAGAAGCCAGGGACGCTGAAGATGAACGCAGAGGAGAAAATACTGGAGCAGGCAGAGCAAACTCACTTTACCATGTGCGAAATGTTGAAAAATCCTAAATACTGAATTGGGGGTGGGGGTTTAATGTATCTTTGAGGGGAACTGACCGTCTTCAGAAAAGTTTAGATGGTATTTTCTTTTCATCTTATAATGCATATGTAGTATTTAAAAGCGCAGCACTGCTTTGTTTAGAGCGCTAACCAAGGAAAAGCTGTATTTCTGCTGTTCCATAAGCGCCGACTGCTGTCAGAGAGTGAATTTGCATTTTAATTCAGCCCGTTTGCAGTTTTTGTTTCATGCAGATATGTTTTATGTAGCAGAATTTGTCAAAGTTAAGGTCAGGCCATTCTGTTTTTGCTTCAAATTTTGAAATTATACAATCTAATTTACATTAAAAACTACTTATGCTACATGTTTGTTAGGATTGCAATTACAGTGCAGTGGTTCTGCAACTGTTTTATGATTTCTGATTCATATAAACCCAGTCAGGGGAAAATAAAAATCCCCTCCCCCCCAAAAAAAATCGATACAGATTTTTGATCAAACCACCCTGCACTAATTACATTATGTTAAAAAACTACGTTGTTGGTTTGTATTTGTAATTTAATCAAAGAGTTCTAATATACCTAAAGAGTGATATCTGTTGATCTCAATGGCAGTTATTCAGCTGACACGTGTAGCCTAGAAACAAACTGCATACTGCCATCGTTGCTTCAGGCCCAATAAGTTTCGAAGAAATTTCTGACTTCTTGTTCAGGCTGATCTGCTCGAAAATGGCTTTTAATATTGCATAACACACAGTCACTATGATGTGTGGAGATGATGAAGTAATGACTCATGACTAAGTGAAGCAGAAGGAGTCTCTCTAAATAAACAGATGGATGAAAGAAAACAGATTTAAATATACGTATGCACGTCTGTCTAACATTTATTCCCAGTGACAGCAATCTGACATAGAGAAAGAGCCAACTCAGCCTTGATATCTTACGATTATATAAAAACAAGAATTTCATAAATAAAGTAGAAAATGCAACAGTTCTTCATTCACCTTTAGATCCATTGACTGTTTCTCTAGAAAATTAAGCATGAAAGATTTCTGTTGATTAAAAAATTAAAACAGTATTTGTCTTTCCATTCCCACCTATACCAGATCTGTGGGTATGAGGTACTGTCTCATTTCAGAATTATATTTTCCCCCCTCTCTCTCTCGCTCTCTCTCTCCCTCTCTTTAATTTATAAACAATATACAACCACTTGTCTGGGGTCAGAGACTTGTTGTCAAGGTTATGTTCAAAAATTATAATTTCTGTTGATTAAAAAATTAAAACAGTATTTGTCTTTCCATTCCCACCTATACCAGATCTGTGGGTATGAGGTACTGTCTCATTTCAGAATTATATTTTCCCCCCTCTCTCTCTCGCTCTCTCTCTCCCTCTCTCTTTAATTCATAAACAATATACAACCACTTGTCTGGGGTCAGAGACTTGTTGTCAAGGTTATGTTCAAAAATTATGTAGAACGTTGCATGATAAATAAAAATGTAAATTATTTATTTGAACTATGAATCTAACCATGACACAAATATTCTTACATCACTCCTCTCCCACTGTTTCCTCTACTGAAACAAGAAATGTGGGAGGATCATAAAATGTCACTCGTGTTTTACACACGATGAGGTTGTTAAACATTAAACATTAAATGCTTGTTTATTTAGCTACCTTATTATTTTGATGAGATCATTTTCCAAAAGTTCAGCTCGTCTTCCTAAAATGAAAACAACAGTGAAGTTTATTAAAAAGATTTATGCAGCAGAAAGAACAGAGGGCTTTATTTGAAAGGACCTACTATATAAGCTGAAGAACAAAAAGGAATTTTAATAATGCAAAATACATTTTTAATCCCTGGGTCAGCTGACAGAACGTCTCTGTTACGTATGTAACCCTAGTTTCCTGAAGGAGGGAATTGAGACGTTACGTCCCTCCTGCCACAATCCCTCAGCGGGATTCGTCAGGGAGGGGCTGTTGAGAGGAGCAATCAACAAGATCTGCTCCTTGTCCTCCCTGATCTTGCGCAGGGTCTGTGCAAAAAGGCTCACATGGGGAAAAACGCACACTCGTGTAGGCCCCACGGCGAGCTGTGTGTCAGCGTGTCCATGCCGAGGGTCCCCTCGGTCAGGGAGTAAAAGAGCAGACAGTGGGAGGATTCGACGGAAGCAAACACGTCCACCTGAGCGTCCCTGAATTGACTCCAAATCAGTTGGACCACCTGGGGAGGGAGTCTCCATCCTTGTGGGAGCGTGAGAGCATGTCTACCGCATGACTGAGCTGCCCCGGAATGTGATTGGCGCAGTGACTTGAGCCGTGCCTGACTCCAGAGGAGGAAATGGCAGGCGAGTTGTAACATGCGACAGAAGCGTAGACCTCCTTGATGGTTGATTTACGCAACGGTCGCAATGTTGTCCAAGCAGACCAGCACATCTTTGCCCTGAAGCAACGGTTGAGCCCATCTCGGGACTCGGCGAAATAGCCAGTGCTGAAGCAGTCTCATATGTATCAATCCGAGCGGCATTACCACGGCTGTGGTTGACATATGCTCCAGGAGCCTCTGAAATTGTTTCAGCGGAACCACTGTTTTCCTCCTGAACTGGGCATGCTCGTTTGTGAGACATGCCATCATGTTGACCAAGTCCAACTCTATACAGAGAAAAAAAGATGCTCTGCACAAGCTGAGGTGTTGGAGCACAAGGTCCCTGTGTTTGTACAACAGATCTCGACAGTAAGCTAGAAAAAGCCATTCATTGAGATAGTTGAGAGTTCGAATGCCCACTTCCCTTGGTAAAGACACTAATATACAGGGACAGCCCAAAGGTGTAGGTGTAGGTGTGGTGTGGGGGGGGGGTTATTGGCATCGAGACATGAAAGTATGTGTCCTTTAGGTCAATCGTTGCAAACCAATCATGTGGCCGAACGCATGTGAGAATGCACCTCTGCATCAGCATCTTGAACAAGAGCTTGTGTAGGATCCGATTAAAGACGAAGTATATTCACCACCTTCATCTCAGCTGGAGGGACAGGCTCTATTGTGTCCTTTGCCAGAAGGACCACAATCTCCACACAGGACAGAGGCACCATTGTTTGCCACCGAGGTAAATAGGGTGCCACTGAACCTGGGGTGGGGGCCTGGTGAACTGGGTCACGTAGTCGAGTCTGATTGTCCGAATGAGCCAGCGGAATGGGCAGGGAAGCACTAGCCAGGCCCCAGGCTCTGTTTGAGCGGCGTCAAAGGAACAGTAGACATACCTACGGAGGGGCAGCGAGGAGGAGCGCTGGACCCCAACCTGGGAAGCGTTACATCCCGAGGAAGGGGTGATGAGTGCATTATAGCACTTATCTGGCTCCATGGATCCCACGAGGGAGTGGCCAGTTTATGCCTGAGGAAGCAACGCGCCCCCGAAACGCAAGCTCTTAGCCTGTGTCGTTGGGGGGGTAGAGGCTGGGAGTGAGGAGACATCACTTCCAGTATATTCACCACCTCCTTGAAAAAAAGAGCAGTGTATTCACCACCCCCTTGAAAAGAGCAGTCCCATCTATCTCCGGGTTGCTTACTGCTTCCCTGTCTGCCTGGAGGGCTTAGCGGCTGCCTGGGGCATGGGCTGCATCGCCTTCCTGTGGGTGGCTCAGAGTTGCAGCCGATGCTGTGCCAGAGCAGATGCAGAAACCGCAAGGGGGACGCTTTTGGCAACAAGCAGACTGGGGACCAGCCCTCGGCGGCCTGGAGGCAGTGGTCACACGCCGGGGCAGGATGAGTTTGATGGCCTTCCGTCTGTTTTCGGTCTGTCTGAGAGCTATGCCAGTGTCGCCGAAAAGGCCAGCTTAGGAGATGGGGTCGTCAAGAAATCACACTTTGTCCACAAGTTCAGCCAGAGATGGCGCTCCTGGACCACTTGCAGAGAGCATAAACCATCCACAAATGCAGTCTCAGCATGACACTGCTCTTTTATTTGCCAATTTTCAATGGCCTGTTTTTTACTACTAAGAGGTGATTGGGACACCCAAGTGGGACTACCTAACGTCAGTTTCTACGTAAACGTCAGACGTCACTGAAAGGGAACTGTCACTATCCCTTTCAGACCAGTTCTGCATTTTTACTATATGTTACATTTGTGGATTATAAGCCTGTTTTATGTCTTTAAAACATTTATTTTTTGCTGACATACTGAACAATGTTCTGCTAATTTACGTGCATCACAGAGGTAAACTCTCTCAGCTGACATAAATTATTTTGTCAAGAATCCTTTGGACACAATGGACAGTCATGAAACCATCTGTTAAACAGCTGAAAACACGATATGCTGTGTCGTTTTTCAGCAAATGTTTATTTGTTTATTTAGTCATTTATTAGACGCTTTTATCCAAAGCGACTTACAAATGAGGACAACAGAAGCAATCAATTGTAGTATTAAAACAGATCCAAAACTAAAAGCTAAAACTTTATAAATACTACCTGTACACATTTTAAAAATAAAGAGATTAAATAAAAATGACAAATGCATACAACAAAATTTCAAAACTTAACATTTAAATGAAAACCAAAAAAATAAAGCTAAAAACAATTCAAAATATTAAAGAACAAAAGGTATAAGAGTATAATCATGATTCTAACATAACACTAAGCCAAAACACCAAAAAAAAACAACTACATATGTGTATGTACAACCACACACACATACATATATACTGTATATGTACATACACATTTATGAATTCAATATATATATTATTTCATTTCCATTTAGTTTGTTGAAGTATTAAAATAACTCAAATTAAATAAAACTAAAAACTTAAAGACCTATACAGACATAATAAATTCAGACATAATGTAAGTAAAATTAAAATAAATAACAAATACAAATAATACAAATCAAATGACAGTAGTTTATCAGTAATCCTAAAAAATAGCACTGCCAAACACACATGCTAAAAAACAACAACTTACTTACACTTATACTTACTTAAATGTTTATTTATGAATTCATAATATCCTTATTATTAAGCACTGTATAATTGTAACCTACCTTTTTGTCGCACCCCAAGGCTTTTAGGAGAATTAAAAGCAGCTTTAAATGTACTGAGTCCCTGTACTTTAGCAGCCACGTCCATGGTAAGAATCCCAGTGTGTCCATACTTATGAACACGTGATCTAGGCCCGGTCCTGTCTAGCAATGCTGTAGCCCTCTGAAGCACGTGAAAGAAAAGTGTAACATGTCATTGTCAAGGTGAGTTGTGATAAGATATAAGCGTTCATAACTACAGGTGTACCAGGATCACAAGCAAAACTTTGCTAAGCCTCAGCCTGCAAGATTATTTAAACATGCTGTGTGGAACTCACCTCCTCAACCCAGTTTCCCAGTAAACACCTTCCACCAGGTTCATTTTCCTCATTAACCTCTGAAGTCATTGCACTCACGTTTGTTTGCGTTACGACGCTGTTTGATAAGCAACGGCTTTGGAAAATAATTTTCTTGTTAAAAATTTTATTTTATTTTTACAATTTTTTAAAACGACGAAAACCCAAATAAATTATTTGTGTGTGTGTGTGTACATAAAAATGTTAGTTATAAAATTACAATTTAAAATTAGACAAGGGAGATATTTTTTTTTAAGAAATTATGTTTCACTATAATTCTTGACCAAGTAGCATAAATAATACTAATAATACATACATACATACATACAATAACTTGAAACAGAGTAGTTGCATTGGAACTCCATGAAACATGTCAACTGGATGGATATAACATTTGTCTGTCCTCATCTGTCTTCCATAATCTGCCTGTCTGCACTCTACAAGCTACATCTGTATGAGACATGTAATCATAGGCATATAGTGGATCAGTTTTCACATCACTCAGTGGGATGTCACCAGGCATTTCCCCAAAGGATGGATGGATAGGACTTGCATCCAGGAATCTGGGAAACATTTGGAGAAAGCTGAACTGGTGCATTCTGTTAAGTCACTTTCAGACAGTAACTTCTTATACACTGTGCTGAATGTTGTACACTGTACTTTCTCTGAACTCATCCCCAAAACCACAAGCCAGTGGGTTCCAAACTGTTGAACTGAGGTTAGAATAGTGACCGAAGTCTCATGCTTACTGAGGAAATGCATAGACAGATTGATAGAAAGAAAACGAAACACAGAATCTGTAAAATTCAGACCATTTTATTTTTAGAGCTAGGGTTTACATAAATCAGTATCTTATTCTGAACTTTCAACGACCACAATGAAAATCTGGGCAAAATCTAATTTAAATTTGAAAACTTGTCATGATAGGAAAAACTTATTTTACCAGCTCAAATGCATCTTCACTGACTGATTCATTGCTTTTATGCAAAATATTGGGAAATACTTTTTATGGTTCCAAATTAGTAATCAGAATATTTACAGCCTAAAAAAAGACCATCTAATTAACAAATATTATAAAAAATGCCAATTGAATTCCTAATGGAATTTATATCATAGGTGAATGATAGTGCTCAGATATTTTGCTTTCATTGGTCCGCAGACTTCATTGAGCTATCTGTTATGTTTCATTTAACTATCAGCCTTATCTCAGATATTAAAGACGTTCATTTGTGATTTTCCTTTCCTCATGAGATCCTAAACAATCAAATGAAGTCAAAATGGATACAAAATATGCACAATTTATTTTCCTAGCCCCATAGCTTTAGGGGGTTTGGACTTCCATGACTTTATCAAACTTGGTGTTGTCAAATTTTTTTCCAAGTCTCTCTCACCAAACACCTACTGTACCATACAAGCCATGTTCTCTAAAACTGTCAACACATCACTACTTCTGGGCCACTGAGCAGCTTCAAAATGTCGATCCTCCCAGTGACAAGGTTCTCCCAAAGCACAACATCATTACCATTTGCTCCAGTTTAAAAATAGCATGTCTATTAGCCAGAGAGAATGTGCAAAACTTTTTCAAACTTGCACCATTTCTAACACTCACTGCTCCAGGAGCTTAAAACAACATTTCCCCACCCAGAATTCACAGTGTGTCTTATGTGTGTTCATTCACACTGGCAGGATTTGCCCAACCTTAATTAATTCTTCCTTTGCTTTATGGACAGACTGGTCAGAAGCCGATTGAGTCTCATCACCTGACCCCTTCCTCTTTTCCTGTTAGATGCTCTGTGGCTTTGCACTTAGTGTCAGACATGGAGTGGTATAACGAAGACACATACACACATAAATTCACCACTTACAGAAACTGTTTTGTAATGAATTTTGTCCTTCTTACATGCCGCTTTAGTCTAGGAATCTAATCCTCACGTTGCTTGTAATTATTTTGAACATACCACAGAGTATTTGGCTTTTCTTTTTTTGTAATACTATACATATGCAGGTCATAACAGGTTAAATTTAGAAGAATAATCCTTTAGGTTCATTTTCAGATATTGTGAGTGATGCTTGTCCATGCAAAACTCACCACCATGATGCTAGTGTGTTGTGGTTGCCTGATAGTGTACTTCTACAGTTTGTGGCTGCTAAGCCTGAGCCTTAGCAAACACTACTAAAAACTGTGTGGAAATAATGCGGCATTACTTTATTGATGGTGAATTTAAGTTTTTGTACACAAAAGCTTTGGCTTGGTCATTTGGGGATTAAAACAATTAATAGTTCTTTAATAGTAATACAATTGATTCAACTGCACTGATGAGAACTGTCGGATGAGAACAACATTTGAACTGGATTAAACTGGATAATGACACAAACTTTGTAACATTAACACAAATCAATAACGTTATTGATCTGAACTGAATCACCATTGAACTGAATTGTGCTGAATAATGACACTATTGTCATCTGTAGAGCTGTTGTACAGCTCATATTTAACTTGATTTATAACTGATGAATTCTGCTACACTGACTGTTATTTTCCTGTTTATTACTGTGAAGCTGCTTTGACACAGTCTGTATTGTATAAGTACATGTCATAAATGCTATATAAATAAATAATGTTACTTGACGTTTTTGCTATGTTGTAGTACTCAAGTTCAGACACTGCCTTGATTCTTCCTCTAGTCTGAGTCCAAGACATTTTTATGGTTTTGGTCTTGCCATGGACTCAAGAGCATTTGGACTCACTCTTGACTCCAGACTACAACACTACAACACTGTGGATATGTTTTGTGGTCTGTGCCGATTTGCTCTGTCCCATCTGATCTCTGGACCAAAGAACAGTATGTGTATGAGTGCTGCGGAGGTTCGTGTGACACTGACATGAAACCAAGCTTCATTCACCACAAAAAAAAAAAGAAAAAAGAATCTTGTTCATACGTCATTCAGACCTTCCTTATGTCTCAGCCTTGACTCAACCTACTCAGTTCACGGCCTGGACTTAAATTTCTTTATTTTGTATAAATGTGTTTGGGTTTTGAAAAAGTTACGATTTTTGATTAATATTAAATCAAAATGATAGGTTTGTACCAAACCTAGGCAGTTTCCAATATAGACAGCATGTGTGACATTCCTTCATCCTCAAAAAGTCCTTCATCCACAATAGTACGATTTAAGGACTTTTTTGCTTACTTTTGTACAATAAACAATTCTGGTACTATGTTGAGTCCACACTTGGTGTCCAATGTAAAATATATGTCCTGAACAAAAACCAGTTGAGTACTGAGTTGATTTTCCATCTAATGTGAATGGACATTTTATTGTGAATATGCCTTCTTTTTGATTTTAGAGTCTCTGGATTCCACCGATGAAGGTTACCAAAACATTATTGAGAAAACTGGAAAACCTGAAACTTGGAAAAGTATTTTATTACTTCACTAAACCGCTGTGGTACCTTCTCAGGCAGAGCATTACAATTACTATGCCTGGCATTTACAACAGTATTTTTACAATTTCTTTGTTTTTGAAATGTCAGAATTGACACATTTGTTATTGTGGTATCACAATATGGTCCTTAACCCAGCCGAGACAGTACAGTACAGTGCTATAACTTTTGAAAATTTTCTTTCACCACTGAAGGACACGGCTGTGTATTGTGTCTTCAGATATGATCAGGAAGTGGATAAAGATATGAATGTAAAAGATTGAGTTTGCTCATTTCTATCCGTACTGGCTTTTAGCAAACTACCGCACACGGATCTCGGGAACTTAATAGAATTTTTGGCTGTTAATATGTGCTATTCATCACACGGAGAAGGGAGCTCTATTATTTACATAGCTGGAATAACACTTCAGCTCGGACGACAGTGCAGCCTGCTTCGTGTTGTTATAACAAAGTTCTGCTGCTGTGGGCCGAGTGGTGGCTCAGGTTATGTGGGAAGCACTGTCTCCTCTCCAAGTGAGGCTAAGCTGCCTTTCCTCTGGCCCCTGAGCCAGGGTCTTGTGTTTTGCTTGGCAGCTACTGGTATAGTCAGCTGGTGTGCACATTTCAGAGCAGAGTCTACGACCTCGGAGACTCTTTTCTCTGGTTGGGATGGTGAGGTGTGGCGGTAAGACTGTTTACGGGCCAATTCAATAGCACACAAACACCTTCAGCTGCGGTCTGTGAGTGCTCAGGGTGCCAGGCAAAGCAAAGAGTGAGAAGAACTGACAAAGGCCAACTAGTATTTGTCTAATTTGGTTAAATCCTAAAAACTGGCTGCACTGTAAAAAATGATTCTGAGTTTTAGTCAGGTGGACAAGTAAAATCATGTCCTGTCAACTTTAAGTGTCTCACTACACAATAGGATGAGTTATAACAACCTCAACTTGAAGGGAAATGGAAAACTTTAAATAACATGTTCATATAACAACAAGACTTGACTAAGTCAAGTGGTCTCAACAAATCATTTTTTACAGTGTGGGTTTTAGTTTAAGAAATATACTCCAAGCAAGCATTTTGCTTGTATTGTCGTATTACTGTGGTGGAGACAAACAAGTGGGTTTGGTGCCGCTAGTGACACAAACATTATAGACTTCACTATTAAAATCTACATTATAATTAATAACATAAGGTATCATCAGCTCTAAACAGATGAGCAGAGCCCTGCTCCAGTTGTGTTCAATGGACAAAGGGTTACAGTCCAGTTGGCTATAAACAGACGGAGCATGGTTAAAATTCTTCAACTGTTCCATCCTCAATTTATAGTTGTAGAAACAGCTCTGTTATGAGCATATGGCCTGCAGCTGTCCTTAAAAAAACCAAAAACCACCCCACAAACACCTGCCCAGGACACACACACATACACACGCACGCGCATGAGAACACACTCTTTTAAACATACTGAGAGCTGTTGTGACAACAGTAACCATAACATGCCTTGATACACAGGGGTCAGTACCTGTAAACTTAAACAACTAACAAATCTATTTGAGAAATGAACCATTCAAACTAGATTACTACATTTTCGGAAGAAAATGTGAATAGTGTTTGTCCCTGCAAAACACATCATGCAAAGGGCATTGCCAGGGTGTTGATATATGATTCTCAGGGCATTCTAAGAGGTTGCTAGGGTGTTC